GAGTTATATATGTAACTACATAGGAATTCAATGGTATGTGTGTAAATCATCCTATATATATATATATATATATATTATTCCAAGAACCAAATAAACAGCTTATTGGATTTGTTACAGATGTGGCTTACATATTTTTCTTATTCTATATTTGAAGCCTGATTGTATCACTGGCGACATCGTATTTGTTCTGCAACAAAAGGACCACTCTAAGTTCAAAAGAAAGGGCGACGATCTCTTTGTGGAGCACACACTCTCCCTAACCGAAGCTCTTTGTGGCTTCCAGTTCATATTAACCCATCTCGATGGCCGGCAGCTTCTCATCAAATCAAACCCCGGCGAAGTCGTCAAGCCTGGTAACATTCCCCATCCAATTATCTAACCACAAACTCAGTTCCATCACTCAGTTCCCCAGTTTACTATGGCTATGCATGGTTCAACATCTGCAGACCAATTCAAGGCCATCAACGACGAGGGCATGCCGATGTACCAGAGGCCGTTCATGAGGGGCAAGATTTACATCCATTTCACCGTCGAGTTCCCTGATTCTCTGAGTCCGGATCAGTGCAAGGCTCTCGAGGCAATCCTTCCCTCACGTGCTCGAACTCTGCTGACGGACATGGAGCTCGACGAGTGCGAGGAGACAACCTTGCACGACGTGAACATCGAGGAGGAGATGAGGAGGAAGCAGCAGAGCCAAGCTCAGGAGGCCTACGATGAGGATGAAGACATGCCGGGCGGTGCTCAGAGAGTGCAGTGTGCTCAGCAGTAAGGTATATACTTATATTATACCAGTAAAAGTGTTATCAGCTGTGCTGAACCTTATCAAACGTATGGTTCTCTGTTATCTTATTACAAGTCTGATACTAGCATAAAACTGGATTGTTTGCATGGCTTAGGTGACTGGTTATATGAGATCTTTTGCTCATCAAGAAAATATTTGAATTTTATTCGGCCTGAAATAATTCTGTTTAATTTGAGATTTATTTAATATTATTGCATAGAAATGCTTGGATTTTAGCCTTGCGCTGAAATTAAAATCATTTCCAACAAGTAGTTGTCTCTTTTATCACTTCTCGTTTGCATAATAGGTATATATAATTCAACAGGTACAACAAACTATAAGAACACATTAGAATATGTAATTATGATTGAACATTCAATGATAGAGAAAAAGTTTATCTTGTTTGTATTGCATGAGTAGAATGAATTGATTTACACTTTTGTGTGCACTATAGATAAATATATATATATATATATATATACATACATACATACAACCTTGAAATTGATTTACACTTGTGTGCACTATAGATAAAATAAAAATTGGTTGAATTTCATAAAAAGAAAAGAGATGAACAGAGAAGGTAAAAAACTCAGCAACTTGTGTGTTTCAGGATAATCAGTTTATTCTGAAACGCGATCCACAGGTCGACCGCAATCTGCATTTAGTGTAAACAATCTAAACGCGGCAGACAACATTTTCAAAAATGACGTTGCACTTATAAACTGCCCCAAACGGGCCCTAAATCATATAAATTTTTATATCTTGCATTTTTTTTTTCATTTTTCTCAATAAGTTGTCTAATTGGTTGCTATAAATGGTGAGA